CATTCGCGTGTTACTGTAGGTGGATTCTTTCGTCTGACTTTTATCTTAAAACACTTTTAACGTTAGGAAAGAAAAAAACATTGACAAAACTAATTATGGATGCCGGCTTTGTGAAAGCAGAAAGCACAAATCTGCCAATAATTGACGCATTGATGGTTGGTGAATTTGTTACACTAAACCCCGATTTCTGCTCTGCGGAGCAGAGAAACGACAAGGCATCTATGTAAGTACAGTGCATTTAGTATTACAATGATGTCGATTCTGGCATAATTCTCTAAAGCTAAACTTAAATTTGACAACAGTGCATCCTTGTCCTTCTCTATACAAAATGAAAAGGTGAGACTGATATTAAATTTAGTTTTAAGTTTAGAGAATCACGCCTGTATTGACACCAATGTAGTAATAAACATAAAACTGATACAACATATGAATAAGTGTAATAAAGTTGCGTAGGTTAATTTCTTTCGGCACTTTAATCCACAACTTTCCTGGAGTCTTCAAGGATGTGTTTTTATATTCTCGTACAATACAGTAATGATAATTACTTTAGTTTTCGTGGTATTTATTAGAAATCATGTTTTTTTTTATTATAAACTCAGTTAAAAGTAATTTTCTACGTGTTTACGAGTTTTTGTTTACCACAGTTCACGTCATAGCATAGATAATCTATAGACTAAAATGGCCGACAGCGTTTTTGTATGTCCATGAAAAGTCTATTTTAAAATTAAAGATTTCTAGCTTTCTAGGTTTAAAAAAAATACAATACATTTTTTTTCGATCTAATAGAACATTTATTAACCATTTAAAACCTTTTTCCAAAAAGGGTCAACTAGCCTATTGAATCGCATTATACCGCTACTTCGGCGCCGTCATCTCTTCTCGGTGACGTGACGGTGACGGCGGCGGTGGACAAACAGCCTTAGGCCCTTCGTACACAACGCTACGCAAATCTTCGATACTTGACGATTTTAGTCTCCAAGCGACTACCGCCATACAAATTCATTGAGGTTCGTACACTAGTCGCGTCGCCGACATTCGTCCCGCGACTCGCGTCGTGCCAGTCGCGCCCTACCGCCCGGACAAGATCTTCGCCACATTAGTCGCAGAGACATTCAAGATGGCGGAGCAATTATTAAATATTAAATTTGTTTCTGAGGTGGAAAAACATCCTTGTTTATATAATTATAACTTGAAGGAGTATTCTAAAAAATACATAACGGAAAAAAGTTGGGTAGCAGTAGGAAATGCCGTTAATTTAACAGGTTGGTATCTTTTTGTAATAGTCAGGAATATAGTAAAGTATAGTAGGTAGCACTTTTTGGTAGAACCTATTTTTTTTTTTCATTATTATGCTTTTATATTTTACGCTCATAGTATTTACATTTTGTATACACATTTAATTATGATAGCTGATGTTGTTGTAACTTGCTGGTTAGCCGGTGTTGTTGTTGTGTTCTAGGATCATGGTAAAATCGTATCCCAACGTCGCTGTTGTTGTTTTAAATAATAGTAAAAAAGGAAAAATATCAATTCCTATACGAGGTGTTTAGACTATAATCCGAGTATGAAATTGATGTCATTCACACGTGGTAAACACTCTACTTTTCATTTCGAATATAAGGGAGGAGGATATAAGGAGATATATAAGTAAAAAAAAATGTTTTCTAAAATAGTTCTGGCAATAACATTTTGGATTTCGATATAGCAAAGCACAATAAATAGTATTTATAAAATTTTATATATGGAATCACCAGTCCTCAGTATAATAAAGAGTACTAGCGTACAGTATGGACACTCCCTGCCTCCCGTTGAAAGTGCCGCCCACCCGCTCTCGGGTACCTCACAGGTATCGGCAGGTAAGGACGTGACGACGCGGAGCCCAGAGCGGAGGCCACATCAAATATAATTCACAAATACTTTTGTAATAGACTGTGTGCGCAGGAACGCGTTTGTTTCAAACATTTGATCGCGAGTGTCCGAGGTGTGACCAGGCGCTGTAGTGTCACCGCTGCGGGCGTCACCTTGCTTTAGGTATTTTTTTTAATCAGCATTGGCTGTTTAGACATTTACAACACCGCTGTATTTTCTTCTTTATAATCTAAAAAGAAACTAAACCTTATTTATTTTAACTTGACATCAAATATAAAATACTAGCTGCGCCCCGGGGCTTCGCTCCCGTGGGAATTCCGGGATAAAAAGTATCCTATGTGTTATTCCCGGTATTTTTCTACCCGTGTACCAAAAGTTCATCGAAATCCGTCCAATAGATTTTGCGTGATTGAGGAACAAACTCACAAACATACAAACATCGTAACTTTCTCATTTATAATATTAGTATGATCTATAAAAATCTAAATTAATGATAGCTGAATTCTTAAGAAAATTTAGTTCTATTTTTGAAATTCATTCCGGCCCTTGGTTGTGAATGAATTTGAATGAAACATTCCGACCCGCGTGTGGGATGAAGCATCGATACTTGGATAGGTACACTACTTTCCGAGTATGAGAAATGAGAAATATTTCTTCGCGTTTACATAATTACTTTATTTATACTGACTAAAATTTATACAATATAATTATATTGCCATGGGAGTGCTACCTGAGGTTTCAAAAAGTAATTAGCTAAATAGTTTCTTAACGTATTCGGCGAAGAGTGCGCATTCAATTGAATTTGCTGAGGTTGTATGATGACGTCATGTATGCTATTGGAATTTTCTTCATATGCACTATATGGAATCCCTTCTCTTTTCCTAACATAGTTGTGTAAAATGCATACAGATTTTACGATATTATTTATCTTTATATAGTCGTGGCATCTAATCGCAGTACTTAGAACCTGAAATTTCTCCGTCATCATTCCAAACGCGCATTCTACCGTCTTCCTTCCTCTACTCAATCTATAGTTAAATATTCTTTTCGCATTATCAAGTACTCTTTGTGGATAAGGTCTTAACAAATAATGTAACAGCGGAAACGCTTCATCTCCTACAAAGTAAAATGGAAATTTGTAATTGTTGTCATCATTTGGTAGTCGTAAAGGAGCAGGAAGGTTAAGATTGCCCCCTTCAATGAAATGTTTGATTGCTGAAGCACGAAATATACCGCCATCACTGTTCCTGCCAGCAAATCCTGTTTCGATGTATGTAAAGAGTCCATCAGCGTCACTGCATGCCATAAGAACAATTGAATGATATGACTTGTAGTTAAAGTTAAGCGATCCTGAGTTTGGTAGCTTTTCTATTCTTATGTGCTTTCCATCTAAAGCACCCAAACAATTGGGTAAATTCCATAACAAATCAAAACGATGTGCTATTATTTTCCATTGATTTTCATCCGGTGTTGGCATATAAGTATCTTTCAAGGCATCCCATATGATTGCTGTTGTTTCTGCGACTATTCTTGATACTGTAGAGTCCCCTCGAGCGAAATATAAAGAAATCGATGTGAATGTTTCGCCAGTTGCCAAATACCTAAAATAATGTTAATATTATTTCTTTACACTTTCTACATGATATTATTCCAATAGTGAACTTAATATTAACAGTTGATTGCCAGGTTTTTTACTTTCAGGACTGCAAGCGAAAGAAAAATGGAAAAACCTCCGTTCTGTTTTCGTGCGAAACTTAAAACCTCCGGCTAGTGGATCATCAAAAAAAAAGAAATACTATTTGACAGATGCAATGCAGTTTGCTCTTCCTTATATAAAATCAGCTGGAATTCCATCAGGCAGTTTACCTAATTTGAATAATCAAGACGATGAACCACAAGCATCCACACCGCCCCCAATATCACCACCGCCCTTAGCATCACCACCGCCTTCCGTATCACCACCGCCCCCGACATCACCTACTGCATCCTCCAGTCATCAAACTGATCGTACTTCAACCCCGCTATCAATCTCCTCTCAGCGTCAGCGTCGTAAGAATAAAATAAGTGAGAATGATAAACTTTTCAATGATTATTTAAAAACGAAATTAAGCAAGCAGAATGATGTTAATAATGAGTCGACAAATAATAACGCTAACAAGATGTTTTTGTTAAGTTTGCTGCCAGACTTGAATTGTATGACATCGACACAAATAAGATCATTTAAACGTCAAGTTATAGATGTGATAGATAACATACTGAATGTACCTCACACCTCACCAACACAAACACCGGTCTTACTACATATACCAAATACTTCAAGTGCATCATCCTCGCAGATAACAACTGGGATAGAAATGCCCAATAATAATATGATCCAATGTACAACCAACGATGGACTAAATGAAACTACATATATTCATCTACTCCAAAACACTATGGGTGAAGTAAATTATACCCAGAATTAATGATAAAGTTGATATTTTGTGCAAATTTTATAAAAGCAGTATTACTTTAATCTTTGAACTGTTACTTTTTTCTTGATTTTTAATAAAACAAATTGTACATTACCTGATTGTTATTAAAACCCTTTCCTCTGCGCTCACACACTCTCTCATGTGCGTGTCTCTCTGGTGTATATGTGGAACAAGTAAATTCACTAAATGTCTATAACTCTCTTTAGACATTCTGTAGAATGATAAGAATTTTGCATCTGTTTGTTGTAATTCTTTTGCAGCTACAAACACTCTGCAATTTATGTTTTTTTCTATGTACGGATGTACCCAGTATCTTCTGTTACGACGATTTCTTTGTTTCCGGTAAAGATAGTACAAAATTATAGTTTCATCATCACTTGTGTCAGACATTTTGTAAATGTGAAATCTGTTTAGCCGCTACGTCTGCAGTGGCTGAATAGGCAATTCACGTCTTGCGATTCAATGTCGTGTGTACGGACCATGCGCTACTCGATACTCGCGACAAGATACTAATGTAGTATACAACATTAGTATCCAAGATTTGCGTAGCCCTGTGTACGAAGGGCCTTATTGTTTTTACCGAGCATTTTTTCTGGTGTTTCTCTCGCTACGGGACATTGGCGAAATTTCTGTGTGAAATTTTGTATTTGAAATCAAATGGAACAGTCCGAAGATATAGAAGCGAAATTATCGAATTTAGATTGTAAATATGGAATGTTACCTTTTGAAAAACAAATATTTATGGATTTATTTGAAATGGATGCACTTTTAATTATGGCTAAGTATGATCTTCTTCTTGTATTGTGATAAACTTACTGGCAATATTAATACCTTTGATTAGATATAAGATAAACTACTGGTCTATGTTATACGAACTTATAATGCTGTTTCAGAGGACTCAATTATAATACAATATTAGCAAACTTCCTTTGGGTCCATAAACATTCCTCACATTTAGTTCTTATCATAAATAGCAATGATCATCAAGAAAGGTACTTCAGTGAGAAGTTTAAATTGACAGCTTTACCAACTTTAGGATCAGAAAGGTACTTTCAAAATTTGTTTGAATCATGAAATATTTTATTATGATGATTCGGTGACTATACATTAGTATTACAATTGTCCTGATAAATTATTGTAGAGAAAAAGTATACTTAGAAGGGGGAATCCATTTCATTTCAACAAGAATCCTAGTGGTGGATTTATTGAAGAATCGCATACCAATTTCTCAAATCACAGGAATAATTGTCCTAAGAGCTCACACTGTTTTGGAATCCTGCCAAGAAGCATTTGCTCTAAGGTTGTATAGGCAGCATAATAAGGTAAAAACTTAAGGTAAAACTTCCAAGAGGTGATAGGGGAGAGGGAGGCACATTAGCACATTTATCATATTTGGACTCATAAAAAATCAACTGTAAAGAGAAATTGAAAAATCCTAGTTTTCTAAGCTTACTTACTCCTTTGTTAATATTTAAATGATGAAATGTTTGAATTTGCTGAAAATGTTAAAAGAGAAATAATGTGTTTTTTTTTAAACACAAATTTGTTCAAATCTGCCTCCCCATGGGGACACATTTGAATTGACATGGGGCAGTTTTGAACAATGGGTGGAAAACCAGAAAAAAGAGAGGATAGAGCAATAATTTGTCTTTATTATAATGATATTTCTTGTTATTAAAATAAAAAATAAACTTATACGAAACTTCTAAAGTTACATCTTTCATTGCTGTAACAAAAATAAAATTAGTAATTTTTAATTGTGTCTGACTCCCTCCTTGTTAACAAAAGTAATCATATTATTGCACATGACTTTTAGTTTATTTATTATAATTATATTATATTGCCTCAGAGGCAAAATTAAACATAAAATCAAACTTCTAAACCACAAAAAATGTTGGTCTAAAAATAGTTCACTTCTTGGAGCTATGTTTTCTTGATATTTTTAACTTGATAGAAGAGTGTACTCGGCGTCCGTCCATATGCATCTGCAGCTCTTCTAAGTTTCATAGTTCCTTTGATGATGCATAAAATGGCATTTAGGACATCATCTTTATTAATTGTACTTTCCCGCTTATTTTTGTATTTTCTAACCAATCTAGAATACATGTATTAGTAAACATTTGATGTTTGCATTTGTCAATCCCGTTCAAATCTGCCCCATGGTCACTTAAAAGATAAAATATTACAAAAAAAATGTGAAATAACTGGCAAGCAAAAAGTACAAGGTGGATTGAAAACTAATAAGTACTGCACAATTTTGTGAAAGAATTAGTTGGAAACCTTTACTCACGTGATAGTAAATCCCTTACAATATTTATTTTTATTTGTACTCCACCAGTACAAATACGACTACAGGTTATAAATCTTTTTGAAAACCAAACGCGCGCGCTTTGTTACTTGACGTTTGTCACAGCCAGTGCTGACAATATTAAAATGTAGTTACGGCATAAAATAACATAGTTATGTTCAGAAATCAACATGTTCGAATCTGCCCCTGTACTAAGGTGCCTCCTTCTCCCCTACTTGATTTTTTTGTAGAAAAGGTCTATTTTAATAGAGTTCTGTTCTGGCGCTTTGCCAGCCACTGCCACGACACGCTTGCTTTGCTCGCTCGGCTCGCACGTTATGGTCACAACACTAACCTAACCTAGTTTGAAGTATCACCGCTAGGGCCCTGGAAGTACAGTTTAGGCAAAAACTAATTTTAAACTTTTCAATATTTCTTTTCAGTTGAACAAGCCTAAATTTGGTTTGGTTCGTATTTTCGCAATCCCCTACCCCTCCTCCCACCACCCCAGCTGCCGCCCCTTAAATCAACAGACCTTATTCTATATTTTTACCTTAAATTTAACTGTCATCAGTTAACTGTACTTCCTAGGCCCAAGAGGTGATACTTCCCACTAGGTTAGGTAAGTGTTTTTAATAATAGAAGAGAAAGAGTAGGAAATGGTACAGAGATAGAAAAGAAAAACATGTAGAGTGTAGACTGCTGCAACACTGTACAGAAATAAATACGGGAGTAGTCCTATCAGGGACCTGTCCTGGATAGGACCAACACTGAGATAAACTTCTGAGCAATCCCTAGATTCACCATGTGGGTGTCGGGTCCATTGTGTGGGAAAGAGAAAAATTGAGCTGTTCCTGGGACTTGCGATCCGGATGTAGGTTTAAGGATGCCCCTTTGAGGTGGAGCGCATCAACGCTCACCTTCACTGCTCGAGTTCCTTCTAGCCAAATTTGATAGGAGCCTGTTAGTGCAGCCTTAGTTATTCATTCCAAAATTGAACTTACTGCAGTTGTCGACAGGCTGAGGTCTTTTAGAAGGTTACAGAGAGATTTTGCTGTTACACCTCTTGCTTCTACCTCTACTTTAATTATAAAAATAATTATATACCTAAATTAATTAGATAGCCATTATTAGTTAGTTTGTGGGTTAGATATTAATATTTATTCAATTTTATTGTGTGGTCTTTTGGAATGTTCGTTTCCCATGGTACAGTAAGCTCTTATTTGTATTATATGTTTGATGTGTCTAGAAAAGAGGAATATGTCCAGCCTGGATGAAGAAACGCCAATATCCTCTGGTACTTTATAGTGCTTATCGTACGCATCCATTAAAATAGTCCAGTCTGGTGCAGTACCTTGAATTGAGAAAGGCTTGCTTTTCGAGTAAACAGTTGTGTCTTCCTTTATAAAGTTAATTTGTTTTTTATTTGTGGTTAATCTTTTTTGAGCTCTAGCCACTGCAAGACTTGCTGCTTCACGAATGACTTCAAGTTCTCTATCATGGCGACGTGAGTATTGACTCCTGTCAAGGAGCACCTTGCAACCTACTAATATGTGCCTTGCTGTACATATTGCCTCACTACAAGTATAGCACGATTTTTCAGAGGGTTTCCCTCATCTTACTAGGTTACTCTGGTCTGCCCGGGTCATTTGGAAGGCACAGAGATTGAATTTTAGTAGAGCAGGAGATCAATCATGTATTGAAGTGCCACACTTCAGAGCTCATGGTATGCAGAACGCACCTATGGTTTACCAGTCACTTTGCACTTCTAAATTCATTGCGTGTACTTTATAGTTGTCGTTTTCGTCTTGTTGTAGGAAAGATTTTATTATGTCTTGGTCCTCCTTGTTCTTTGCGGAACCCAGCCCAACTCTATTAACCTGTGCACTTACAATAAAAATTCAAAAAAAACAATGTAATTGCTATGGGTGCCCGAAATCGAGTAGGTGCCTAATGTTTTAAGTGCACCCGAATACGGGCAAGCGACTAAATTTAATTACGCCTTAACGCGCGAGGCAAGCGAGCAAAGCAAGCGTGCGGCCTGCGAAGCACCAGAAAAAAAAACCTTAAAGTCCTTTTCAATAAAAAAAATTACAAGTATCACTCTTGGGCCCAGAAACTACAGTTTTACCAAAATTCACTCTTGGGCCCAGAAACTACAGTTTTACCAAAATTTTGATTGAAGTCTTGGGATTGTTTAAAAAAAGTAAATTTATATAATTATAATTATTATGGTTACAGACAGGTTTTATTAAAGCAATGTCTAATTCTCCCATATCATTCACATTTGGATATCATCAAGTGGAAAAAGTAATGAGGGCATTGTTTGTCACAGAATTATTGTTATGGCCTAGGTAAGTTTTCATTTGACATGAATTTAATTTTGATCTAAAACTGTGGTTCCTAACCTTTTAGCGATGAGGTGCAAAATTTCTGTCTTGCCACAGACCACTAAACGATTTGCTGGTTCTTACCACAGATCACTATGTATGTAGCAAGCTAGTTCTTACATATGCAATATTTTTCAAATAGTTTTGCACACCACTTCGGGTGCTTCCACAAACCATCGATGGTCCACAAACCACCAGTTAAGAACCGCTGATCTAAAAGATATTTTTTTTCAATGCTAATTAGCATTGCTAGATAGTTTGGAATAATATGTATTTTCCGAACATATCATATGATGTCACCTGAAAAATATTGAAATTTCCTGCCATCTGAATGAATAATTTGAATAGTGAAGAAGTTTCCGATTCTTTAATGATGGCTTGTTTCGTTCGCCGTAACAAGGGCTCTGGGCATAGATGGAGTCAGAACGTAACCATAGTATGTTTTTTTAATGTTGCAGATTTCATGGCAATGTAATTAAAAGTCTCAAAAGCAGAATTGCTGAAGTAGTTGAGATACATATACCCCTTTCAACTAATGTCAGCCACATACAAACCTGCCTGATAGATATTATAAATCACACTGTGAAAGAACTAAAAAGTATAAATAGAAATTTGGATATGCAGGTATTTATTTTATATGCATTTATTATCTTGAAATTTGTATAATTTTTAAAGCAAACATTAACTGTTATTAATTGAGTTCATAATTATTTCTTTTACAAACTGAAAGGAGGGTTATGATTTTGAATAGCATGCATGTTCTAACCCTGTTACGAGGGAACTGATATTGAATATGTCATAATAATAACAGAGGCGGAAATTGGTCAGTAAAGTCAGCCGAAATCAGTTTTTTTAGTAAAGTCATTAATTTTAAGATGCAATCATTTTTCCATAATAGTTGTGTAGTTTCTGTAGATTGAGTATACGAAAATGTAAGAATAGGTCGACACTCTGCCCCCATGTTTCATATTTATTACGTAAGAATCTAAAGGAAAAAACGAATACACATTTGGTTTGAATCATTTACTTATACGCATCCGAGTGAAACACAGCATTCGCGCTGTTGCTCGCGCTTTTTCAAAGTAATTTTAACTGCGCATTTTTGTGATCTTACGTGAGAATTATCGAGACCCCTTCCCACCCCCGTGTAAGAAAAAATAGGATGGAATGTGGTATAAATAAAAGCTATCCGTTCGACAGGAACACAGCTTCAACCATAGTTAGCAATTGTTTTAGAGACATCTTCTGTAGATTGGTTGTTCAGCAATGTAATTTTCATATTTACTGCCAGCTGAAAATTCATTACATTGCGCTACAAATTTGATTAATAGAAGCAAGCTCTAATTTCATTGGCAGTAGTTGATCTTGCAATAACTGTCATTGTTTGGCCGAAATCTTTAGACAGTCAAATCATTGCGCCCCCGAAACACCTTAATCTATCTATCTACAATACGGATGTTGAGAATTTTTCGGAACTGCTCTTATTTTAAAGATCATCTCATGTTTATCATTAACAATAAATTTTATTGTTAACTAGTTGACCCGGTACTTCGTATACGTTAAAATAATTTTGAAGAAATGACGGACGCGAGGCTACCGTACTAAAACAGTACCGTACCAAAAGGGGCGAACGTCAAATGTTTGACAGGAAAGAAGATAGAACAGGGGGCCATTCGCCTAACCGAAATGCTTTGGAATACTAATTTTGTTATTTCTGACCGCCGAAGGTTTTCAAATACCTCACGCTTATTTTTTTTTAATATTGTTATTACCAATGCAAAAGAAAAAAAAGAGCGCGAGCCATTTGAAATTCTCAGGCGGCTAGAAATAACAAAATGAAATCGAATATATGGCAAAATTAAATTGACGTGTTTACTGTCTTTCTCGCAATTTTTCCTTATTTTCTCACCTTTTAAACCTTCCCTAGACCTCCACGAACATTTCAAGAAGATAAGATAAATCCGTTCAGCCGTTCTCAAGTTTTAGCGAGACTAACGAACAGCAATTGATTTATATATATAAATAGAAAGAAGATATATTTAGGTACATGAATGAATTATTTAAAAACTAATTGTGAACTGAAGAATGAAAAGCAAGTTCAAAAAGGCTGAAATGGCTTGTGTTTTAATTTTCAGCTCTATTTTTCGCAGAGCAGTGAGGCTTAATATTAGTTTTTAGTTTTTGAACTTATGCTATCTTAAACAGGAAATCACCACAGAAAACTGTCTCACTAAAAAATTTCACAAAATACTACAATCACAGTTGGATTGTGTTTGGCATCAGTTGAGCACAAGAACTAAAGAATATATTCAAGATTTAAAAATATTAAGAAGCATGATATTGTAAGTGAATTTTTATATTGTAAAAGTTGAGTGGAGTTATGTGTCTCCATAAACATCATCCGCCTGTTAACCCACTGTTAGGATATAGTAAACAATGAGAAGAAAAACGAACTATAACCCCGTACGGAGGTCTATCCAGATTGGTTATTGATATATCCGTGTCAATAAAAAATCAAAGCAATAACAAATCGAAAATGGCGACTTGTACTCTCAGATCAATTAAAAAAGTATAGATGGACCTCTGCAAGTTAAGCTGGTTAAAACTAAGCGTCGCCCTGTACGTACACAAAAACATGAACACGTACAAGAAAACTAAGCCTTGAAGTCTTATAAAGATTTGCTCGAAGCTTCGCCATAACTCGACTGACAAGGCAAGGCTTACTTTCTTTGTACGTGTTTTAGTATACTTACTTCACTTTTTTGTTCGCAGAGTTCCATCTTTACTTTTAAATTAATCTTAGCTTGTATCTGCTATATTCTTGTTGCACTCTTAACGAAACTAGATTGACAGATTTGGTTACAGTTGAATTTGGATAAAATTAAATTTATTTATATAGAAAAAAGGGATTAATTATACAGGGTGAAATTGAATGTTTCTATGAAACTTCGTGAGATTGTTGGGTTACGTGTATAGAGTATGCCTGATTATTTTCGGATTTTTTTGAAGTATATTTTTTTCATGTATTTATTTATAATTTGTGTATTTTTATGTCCTTTCCTCCTTTTGAGTAGTTATTCATTTTAAACAAACAAACTTACATATCCAGTGAAAAACAACTAATAAATAAGCACTTCTAAAAAACGGAAATACATACATTAAAATTCCACCGCGGGTCAACGACCGACCGCGCCCGCCAGCTACACAGAGCTCAGCTGACTCCTTTGATTCCACACAATACAATAAAATCGTCTTAGATGCCTTTATTGAAATTGAAATAATAAGCAGAAATGTCATCTTCTCTTAAGCAGAGAAAAACTTTAAAAGTTAATAATAATTTTGTCACGATTGGAAATAGGCAAATAATAAACAAAAAGAAATACTTATTGCAGTTTAATACTTGGGTCAGAATGAAATTCATAACCAGGTATTCAAAAGTACTTACGAGACCGGCGATGTAGGTAGGTACAACTAGGAACGAGGAACATATTCATTTTTTTCACTAGAACTTTTTATTAAATCAATCACACTGGTAGTACACAATTAGTTGTTTCTAATCAAAAAGTATTTACACTAGCAATAAAAAGAGACTTAAATTATTATCTGCAAAATAGTTGCTCTAAACCACCATTGTGCTGCAAACAAAGGTAGGCATGTTTGCGGACGTGTCTTTTCACCTTTTTTAAAGTGTCCCTATCACTACTCACTGCACAAAATGCAACTTCTATGGTTTGGGGACTCATTCGTAAACCAAACCTACTTCGTCACACTCGCAAAGGTAGTAGACCATCTCTAAATATTCTTGGTTCGTATACCGAGGCATAATGAAATTATCACAGTGTATGTCACTAAGTCAAAAGATGCGCACGCCCACGCGCGATTGATATGCTTGCTACTGCGCTTTGCACGCAATCAAAGCAAACCACCGCGTGCGGGGAAGAGGGGAGGTGGGCGGAATTCACATCATCCAAAGACGCCGCAACCGGCAATAGCGCTGCATGTTTCTTGCCAGCGTGCGGCGCGCCGCCCGCCCGTGCTTGCCGCAAAACAACATATTATTATGTGTATGTGTGTGTGTGTGACTGTGGCTGTGATTAAATGTGTTCGGAATTTCATGACGTGGGCAAATCAGACACGAAGAGTTCCTTCCTTCACTAAGCTCGTAATGTATACCGATTTGCTCTGTATGATTTTTCCCAATTTTAAATAAGCCGTTTGTGCTAACTTTTAATTAAACGAGGCAACTAACATTAACAATAAAAAAGAAGTTCTTACACTAACAGACAGGCTTTACCGATTTAAAATCGTGACAGTCATATTAACTTTATAGGATTTTTAATTGCTCTAACAGAAGATTTATTTTATTGATTAATTACCTGTGCTTTATGAAATAATATTCAAAGGTATTGTGTATCAGTGAATAAATAATTATAATATAGCATCTAAGACTATTTTATTGTAATGTTTCTAAATAGTGTGGAATCAAAGCGGAGAGTAGGTAAACGCCGAGTCATCTGTGCGTGTAGTAGGTACTCGTACCTACACAGGCGGCCGCCGGTCGTCACCCCGGCGGCCGGCGCTGATGTCGACTGGAGGCATTCAGCAAGTTTCCGTTTTTTTAGGAGTGCTTATTTTAAGTTGTTTTATAACTTCTATGTAGACGTGTTTAAAATGAATAATTACTCATAAGGAAGAAATGACAAATAAATAACCAAATAAACCGGACTTTTTAAAATATTTTTTTTCGTTTATTAATTTTTATAAACGAAAAAAAATATTTTAAAAAATCCAAAAAAATCAGGCATACTCTATACACGTAACCCAACAATCTCACGAAGTTTCATAGAAACATTCAATTTCACCCTATATTAGTTTTACTTTACTTGAAATATTTTTTTTTTCAGAAATGTACTGCACGATGATTGTGTTTCATTTTATGCTTTAGTCAACAAATACAGAACACCTGAATATGCTCAAATTAATTCGGGCTGGATACTTCTAGAGTCAGCAGAACAATTATTTCGCCTTGCTAGAGGTCGATTATATAACCCTAATAACGGTATGTAATACACCTTTAAATTGTTGTCGTTGTTGGTTTTAAGAATTATTGTTATTTATAAGTTAATGAAATATACAGAATTTGACCCGGAACTACCACCGAAATGGAAAATCTTGAGTGAGCTTCTAGTAGATGAAATCCCAGAAGAAGTAAAGAAAAAACAAGATGGAAATTTAAAAAATACTAAAATATTAATCCTCTGTCAAGATAATAGGACATGCTCGCAACTCAATCATTATCTCACGATAGGGCCCAGTAAATATCTCTTGTACATGGCCTTTCGAAGAGATTTGACCATAAATGCAGTTTCATCAAAATATAAAGATTATAAACACGAATTTGAAAAAAAGGACACCAAATCCGAAAAAAATAAAAACACTAAAATAAATGCAGAAGAAAACGAGGAAGCCAAAGAAATAGATACATGTGAAGATTTTGAAGCTGATGAGTCCAATAAATGCAATTATGTTCTAACTTTATCGCAAGTGCCACAAAAAAATAAAGATTTAGACGAAAGCATTTTCGAACCCATAACTCAGGTGCTAATTCAAATCCTTTACTTTAGCTATCTAATGCACATTTACATCAGCAAAACAGCAAATTAACCAAGAATTCCGAAATGTCTCAAAATACGCTTTGACATTGACAATGCCTTTATTGCTTATCTTTATTTAACCAATGCCGAGCTTCTTTTTTATTTTGCTGAATAAACCAATTTTATTTCAAAGAACCTATACTTTTATTACAGATTGATAATCTGGATATAACACAAATGGAAAATGATAAACCATTAATTTTTATTCAAACATTTAAAGAAAATGGAAATAATTTTTCACTTGAACAATCTTTAGAAATTTTACGTCCTGAATATATTATATTGTATCATAGTGATGTATCAGCAGTAAGGCAAATAGAATTATTTGAATGTCGAAAAAAACCTAATGAGGTGACATGCAAGGTTTATTTCATGATTCATGATAAAACAGCAGAGGAACAAGCTTACCTGACATCGTTAAAAAGGGAGAAACAAGCATTCGAGTTATTAATTGAAACAAAAAGTGTAAGTATGAACAGAGTACCTACTAAATATTTTTAAATCGGTTAATCAATTATACATATTATTTTTGTTTTTAAGTTACAGCATAACATAAACTTAAAAAAACGACTTCAGTGGACACGGAAGGGGAAGTCAGTTAAAAAGAGTAGGTCGTCGATCCAGATCTATAACTGTAATGTTGGTATGAAGATTAGAGCTAAGCTATAATCTAAGGAGATTAGAGCATATAAAGAGACAGACAATATTAGGTCTTTACCTATGAAATTGCCGTTTTTCATGAAATAGTTTAACACCCTTTTTTTCTATAGTTTTTGTTTTTATTAATCAAAGTAATTACCCATGCAATCAATGCATTTTTGCCAAAGTAGTGGTAGCTTATTGATGCCCTTTTAGAAAAAGTCTGCTGGATCGGAGGCAACAGGTTCTTCAAAGATTATTGAATTATTTAGTTAGAAGTTATCCAAATTCTGGAAAAAGTAGAAGTCTGTAGGGGCAGGGTCTGGTGAGTACGGTAGATGACGGAGAATTTCCCCAACCTGAACTGTTGTAACATGGAGACCGTCTGCTGTTCAATATGAGGTCACGCATTGTATAGCAAGAGCAGCGGAGCCGAACGATTGACCAAAGGTGGTTGGAGATGTGCGAGCTTTTCCATCATTGTGTTTAGTTCTTTACAGTCAACATCTGCAGTAACGCTCATCCGGTTTGGTAAGAAGCTGTGATGAATATGTGAAGCACCTAAGACCACCAAACAGTGACCATAACTTTTTTATGGGTTAGTTTTCTTTCGGGGCATTTTGTAGGTGCTGAACCAGGGTATAACCAACTTGCTGAGCGCTTACGATTGTTGAACAGAATACATTTTTCGTCGCAAGTAACAATACGATTGAACATGCCTTCGTTTGTGTGCCAGTCGAGCAGTGCAAGGCTCGAATCGACTCGTACTTTGCGCTGGCGCTCGATCACTCGATTCGTGGGGCACGCATTTGACAAGCTTTTATACCTTGCCAATTTGACGCAAATGGACCAGTATTGTATTAATGCTAACATCGAAAGCTGCTACTAATTCAACTGTAGATTGAGAATCATCCACTTCCACAATCGCTTTTAATTCGTTATTATTGTCGACTTGAGTTTTCGGTCACCCACGGGGTTCATTTCTTAAGTCGGAATTTCCAGAACGGAATTGGGCAAACTAAAAGCGGGTGGTGTGATCGTTAGTAGTGTTCGCTCTGTATACGTCGATGATGTTGCGTGCCGCTTCTGCCGCTTTGCTGCCACGACGTTACTCATACTTCATAATCACTCGAATTTTTAACATATCCAAGATGACGAAAAATTTAGTATCGCAAGCGTTATAGGCTATGGTGGCCGCTTACCATCAGGCAGGCCATAATGATTGTTTCCCACCCTTTTAACATAGAAAAACTAATGCGACTTGTTTAGGGAAGATATTTAAAGTTAAATTGGATATAAATTATCTATTACAGACAATGGTCGTACCAAAGTACCAAGATGGAAAGACAGATGAATATTTCAACTTGAATGTAGAAGATGACATTGAGACTGTAGATACAAGAAAAGCTGGTAAGAAATATTTATAAAATAAATCATTGTCTTTAAATGTTCATCAGGATAAATTAAATAAATAAGATAGCATTGCCATTGACGGCATTGATGCGATTACCTTCCTTTGTGGCATCCTAGAGACTACGCGTAGACAATTGAAAAGTTTCATACGTAACTAAAATGACCCCTTCCATCACTCTATCCCTATAAGAATTTCGATAATGTTGCTTATAACTTAAAACAAGCTCTAGCAAAACTAGAAAGAAACACAATATTGTTACACACACTCAAGTCAAATCAATTTTTGCACAAAGGCAATTTGCACGGAGATCAACTTTATTATATAATAAAAATTAATAAAGAACTCAATATTTACCCTCTAACTTACAAAAGGTGCAAAACTACGTTAACAGAATGGCTAAAAACTAAAAGTTATACAGAAGTTGAATTATTTATTTAGTGGGGTTATAGGTATGTAAAATGTAAACTCTCGATACGAAATGTCGTGGGGTATAAAATACTCTAATAATTATAACTCGTTAAATCCGCTCTACACACATTACACGCATAGGTACTACGACACACTATACATGTATACAGGCACACTTATACACACACACGCACACTCACAACACACGTTCGAGCATAATATGCTTGAACCCAAGAAATTCAAAAACTGTTAAATATATAAGAAAAAAAAATGTTTATACCCTCAAAAAAATAGAAAAAAAATTGTGTGTGTCAGCTCCGACGCACGACTGGAGTTTACTCCTTAAGTTCGATAGTCTAACCAGACGCAAAAAGAGTTTATTTAACTTAAAAAAGATTGATACTGTATGAAAGGGTAAATTAACAAATTAATGAAAATAATATACATATATAAATATATATTTATTCATTTCATATACATTTATTATAACTAATCGACGAAATATTTTCCATTAATTATATAGGGCGATTATGTATACGCCATTTGTGCATTTAAAATTTTAGTTCATATGTATCAAAATAGATGGCGCTGTAGTTCGTTGCATCACGCTTGTAAATATGTTTGGAGCTACATATAGGCAAAACGTCACCTAACTAATAAAGAAATCTATGGTCTAACAAAATACACTGTAGTTTCAATTTAATTCTTTTGCACCTAAGCTCTCGGATTTAAGAGTCATTTTGGCTCGAACAGGATGCGCACCAAAAACGTAACGAGGTCATTCATCGATAGATTTTGCTCCTCACATTTTTTCTCATACCGGGCCCCTTAAATATGCAAATCGATTCTTAAGGAGTAAACTCCAAAAAACCGAGTATGTAATCTTTGTTGGTTTATGTTATTGTTTTGATATCATTTTGAAAAAAAAAATACTTAAACTATATATTATTGTAATCCATTATTATAAATACATCTATGGCGGATTGTCAATTGGCCTATTATAACAAGCTATGGAAGAGCGGTGCATCATAACACAAGCAATTTTACTGCTTAAAATGATGTACCATACTCATACATTGTAGTAGGCTAAGTTACTGAAATAAACTCATTTTGTATTTGTATTTGTTGTAATTAGACCAGGGTCGATAATTTTAAAAATGGTGAAAAGTGAAAAAAAATATAGTAGGATGAAACCCATTAGAAAAGGTAGAGAATATAACAAAAATGAAAGGAAAAATAAATTACGGGCGATCTGAGGTCGGGAAGGGGGAGGGGGTGAGTTTTTAAGGGTAAAAAATGGTTAATCTCGATTTCCGGTAAAACTGCAAGTCCTATGAAAAAAAGTTAAATGGCAAAGTTGTAGGTAATAAAAAGATCTACAACTTTTATATCGACACTGTTTTCACATAACCTCAAAATTTATGAAAAATGCGAATAACCGAGTTTTTGGTTTTTGATTTTTATTTTTTGCAAAAAAATTTAATTTTTCACGAAATTTTTTGAAAACTTACCTTTCTACTATGTCCCAAATAGTCCGGGAGGTAGCGTTGCAAATGCAAAAGTCATAGTAAGCCGGCTGATATTAACGTCGATAGTTGATATTATATGACTAATAAGTGAACCGACCGTCAGCTCCTCAAGTAGCGGTGGGTGCGGGTGTAGGAGGCTGCGAAAGAGGTAAAAAAAAAAAAGTAATAGTACGCTGGCTGAAACTTTTTCCACAAATAGTTGATGTCATACTGAGCAAAAAAAAAAATCGTCAGCTGCATCGTGGAGGGGGGATTATGCGTCAGCTGGCTGCATGAATTTGTAAAAAAAAACGTAAAATAAAGTTATAATACGCCGAATGAAATTTAACTACGTGATTCTTCAAAAAATTTAGAGTACGAAAACAACAATCAGCTGATTGTGTAGCGGTGGAAAGACCGTCAGCTGACCCAGTCAAGATTTAAAATTTTGGAGTATTGCTGTGAGGCTGTTCGCTTTCAAACACATATTTTGCGATACATTCTGGCCTTCCTTGAACCCATAACACGACTTTCGGGCTACCTAAGCCTCTCCCCAGTGTTGCCAACTCTACGTCTTTTTACGTAGATCTACGTATTTTAGGCCTTTTCTGGAAACCTACTAACTTCAGTCCCAGAATCTACGTATATTCTTAATTTTTTTCAAATTTGTAAAATAACTTAATTCACTAGAATTAAGTTATTTTACTTAATTCTAGTGAATTAAGTAAAATAACTTAAATTAATAAGTAAAATAAAAAATAACTTAATAGAAAAGAAGAATATTTTCCGTTACTTTACTTAAAAACTATACAAATGTTTATTTCTTATAAAGATGTATCTAAACACTCTTGTATCTTGTAGAAAAGGTTCCCGTTACCTATTGGTTTTGTTGACTAAATTAATGCTGGCCTCAGGATTTGTGAAAGCAGAAACGACAAAACTCTTTGACTTAGTAGGTACATTCATAACCTTAAAAATTGTATTTTTAAACTTTTAATATTATCAATGAGCACCTACTCACATCGAATTGATCTTTGCAAAAAGAAAAGACTTTCAGTCGATAAAGTTACAGGATTTAGCAAGTTTTAAGCATATGTTCATGTGTAAGTATGTTTATTTCTCTTGGCAATTTAAACCACAACTTTTCTGGAGTCTTTTACCAAGTGTATCATGTTAACTAGTATATTTTTCATGTGATCTATTAGAAATCATGGTTTTATAATATTAACTTAGAAAGTTTATTTCCTACGTGCTTGCGAGTGTTTGTTTACAAATGTTTTGACGTCATAGCATAGATAAGTCTATAGACTAAATAGCGTTTTTGTATGTCTTCTAGGTAAAAAAAATATTTTTTTTTCGTTGTGATAGAACAATTATTACCAATTTAAAACATAATTCCAAAAAGTGTCAACTAGTTATCATATAACAACAGTTTATCCTTGTCATTCTCTATACAGAATGAAAAGGAGAGACTGATGTTAAATTAAGTTTTAAATTTAGAGAACCATCCAGAATCGGTACCCACCAGTGTCTGTGTCTGATGGTAAATGTTTACAGCAGCATGATAAATGCTTCCAATGCAGCGACTTCTCAAGAACTCTTTGTTCTTTCTCCCGTGCTTAAACAAATTGTATAACAAAATACTCGTCTTATTCGGTGAAAAACATCGAGGTCGAGAACTTGATGAAGACGAAGAAAACGATTTCCTGCAGGACAGTTCGGCCGATGATTCGTCAGAGAACGACGACGATAGCGATACCATCGACGATGAATAACTTTCGCGATCTTTTTATTCCTATATTTCGATTTTGTTCATATTTACTTTTAATACATTTTGGGTTCTTTTCATTTTGCCCTCGATTTTCTTTTATTTAGTTACAAATAAAACGAAACGAAAATATATCGAGAAAGATTCTGTCCATTGCTAGAATAATCTTTACCTTTACTGCGTCAGCTGACGGTCTTTCCACCGCTATATACGCAGCTGATTGTTATTTTCGTACTTATGATTATTTAAAGAATCACATAGTTCAATTTCATCCGACGTATTATAACTTTATTTTACGTTTTTTTTTTACAAATTATGCGGCCAGCTGACGCATAATCCCCCCTTCACGATGCAGCTGACGATTTTTTTTCAGCTCAGTATGATGTCAACTATTCGTGAAAAAAGTTTGAGCTGGCGTACTATTACTTAATTTTTTATTTTTTTTTACCACTTCCGCAACCTCCCAATTCCACACCCACCGCGGGTGCGCCAGCTGACGCTTGGTTCAGTTATAAGTAGTTCGCGATAAATAGTAAAGGAAGGCAAACAGTCGGCGTAAAATCACTGCCAAAAATGCAACGCTACCTCCCGGACTAAAACATACAGTAATTTTTTTGATTTAAAATATTCATTTTTTCACCTTATTTTGACTTAATATCCAAAAAGCACCCTAATTTTCAATCGAAAATTCTCACGTCAAAATATCTGCTTTTTTAAAAAAGTTGGGGTGTTGTTTGTTTGTTGAAATCTCTACTTTCTGATGGTATAAAAAAATATACACTACTATGATAAATGTTCTCAGAAAATGCAAATTAATAATGAAAAAAACTCGAATCCGAAAATCCTATTTTTAATACCTACTTACAACAACTATTTTTGCATGTTTTATGGATTTGTAATTTTTCAGTTTATCAATATAACATGAAATCTTACACGCCTTGCAACTCGAGCAGTGTGGACGGCACATTGTCTTGCAAAAACAGGATTCCTTTTGCCAGTTTGCCTCTCCTTTCTCGACAATCTCTTGCGAACTGTTGTCAACAATGCGGCATAATAGTCGCCGTTCATCGTAGTATTTTTGGGAAAGTAGTCGCTGAACAAAATTCCTTCACAATCCCAAAAAACAGTGGCCATAAGCTTGGATGCCGATCTTTCCACTTTGAATTTCCGTGGCGGCTCTCTCCTTTTTCTATTCACTGCATTGATTCTTGTTTTGACTCCGGATCGTATTGCCTAATCCATGTTTCATCAACAGTAATTAGGCGAGAAAAAACAGCGTCAGGATTATCGCCACAGATGTCCAAAACTCCTC